TTCATCATATTTGGAGCCACTTCAGCAACACCGAAACCAACCCAACCTGTGGTTCTCACTTGCACCATAAACTCCAATTTGTCTGAGGCTGCATTATAATAGTAGGAAACATTGTAATTTCCCTTGCCATCGAGCATAATCAGGTCGGAATGTAGCACTGGCTGGACTACAGCTGTGGATGGTGCCATCATTATTGTCGGCGTTGGAGTGATAACCGGGATGAGGGTGACGTTGTAAAACCCTCTGTATTGATTGCCATGATATTGAAGGTTGTCGCTCATGGGATGATATGCCCATACAATAGAAATGGACATTCCTTTCTAGAATATATAAATGAAAACCAATTAACAAGTAGAAGTGATGCTGAAATATTATTTTATTTCAGATCAAGAATGCCAGGTTCTTGGGTTGCGTTGGATTTCATGGGGGTTTCGATCGGTGTATAATGTTGTGCACTTTAATTCACGATAGCAAGAGTATTGTTGTTTCTCTAGACCACCTCGAGCTTTTCTTCAAGGTTTTTGGTACGTGGAACAAATTGGAAATAATATCAGAAACTTATCTCATGAAAAAATAACAACAAAAGTGCAGTCTTCCAACGATTTTATGAGAAGGACAAAACCTCAGGTCATTTTACGACCGGTTAAAATTATTACAAGTTTAGAATGGAATATCGTGAGGAACAATCTTACCGGAATAGCGGTATCATTTTGTAGATCAGTGGTGTTTCTCATGCGGTAAAACTTTATCGTTGTGATGTTATTCTCCTCCATAGCGTTCATGAGCATCCAATCTTGTTGGGTATCTAGTCGTGGTAGTGTCTGGCCAATTGTAAGGTAGTCCTGGACGAAATAAAGTGAAGGAGATATATCACTTTACAAATGAAGATCGTATTCGTTGTTCAAGTTACTTTCTAGATATTTAAAGTATTCAAGATAAAATTAGGCCGGATTTCTTTGGTGAAATTCCGGCTTGGAAATAGAAAATCAAGACAAGCTCATTATGGTAAAAATTAAACAGGAAAAATGAAAACTTGAAAATATCAGTTTGAGTGAGTATCTAATTCTTTTCAAAGTACTCTGGTGTAGTTTTATTTCTGCAATTAGCAGACAAATGTCTTCAAATTTGAAGTATGCAGAGGCCAAAATTATGATATTTAATAAAAATGTCTGAAATATTCTCACTTAGCCCTTCGGATGGTCCACATCATTGGTAAATGGTGATGCTACCGGGTATAGCTTTATCTCTAGGTTTGAAAGTCCTTGAAAAATTACGCACTGCCTCCCCAATAAATGAAATAAAAAATGTAACTTTCTTTCTGAGTTTAGACCTACCATTCATTCTATAATTTGAACAAAATACACTTTTTTCCCGTTTTTCCGGCGGACTGCTACTCTTGTTCCGTGTTGATCCGTTTTCAAAGAGAAAGTGCCGTTTTCAATTTTATCCAGCCTAGTGCGAACAGTTTAAAAACAGACTTAGAACATAAGCCTCGTTTTCATGTTTTGTCATTTAATCGACCAAGCATCGATCTTCGATCATTTATACAAATGAAAAATTGGTGGATTAAACCTTTTGAACAGCCAAATGACAAAAGGTTTGTGACGAGAGAGGCTGAGAATCAAATTTCATACTATTTTTTCTGAAAAGATATGGATTTCCTACATTTTCGAGGGTTTCTCAAGGATTTTCTTGTTACGTGGCGTCACTTTAGGGCAAGAAGAACTTGCAATCTAGCACCTATTTTGAACTAACTGGGTATTAAACGAAATTGAATATGACTGCTTATTCTGTGCTTATAAGAATTCGGGAGTGACATATCATTCGAGGAAACGATATACACTTTTAATTTAAATAGACACGTTCTCTCGTTCGTTTCTCGCGGTTACTGTGACCGCTGAATATAGTGTGTGTAATTCACACAAATTAATGGAGTGAGATCTTTGAAAAATGATCATTTTAGCAGAGAATGAGCCCTAAACGACATTTTTCTCAATACAGGTTTGACTATAGCACACACACATTAGAGACTGTGCCACAACTGGTATTTAGGAAGCACGATTTATGTGTTGAACCTTTGTCCTTCGAAGTTTGGCTTCTTTTTGCGCCCTTCATTTACTGCAGTTTTTTTCAGTGCACTTTCAGTATTGTCATCCTTAGGTCAAGCATGACTTAATCAATATTTCATCAGTTTCGATCAAGTATTTTATGTCTTAAGTCAAGCGAAACCAAAGGACATTACAGGGCCGTAGCTAGCATGAGGCAAGACGCGGCAATTGCCTTGTCTTAATTTTGGCCTTTTTTTAATTTTTTTCTTAAAGATTGACTTTTCTGAAGAAAAATGCCTCGCCGGAAAATCCTTAAAAGAGCATTTCTGAACCTCTAGATTTCAAAGTTTTCTGGGGGGCATGCCCCCAGACCCCTCTAGCCGCTCGCGCCTTCGGCGCTCGAAACTTGCCTCGTCTTGTCCTGAAATCTGGCTACAGCCCTGCATTAGTGATAGTAACTAACGATAATTGAACAATATTGTGACCTTTCAAAGGTGATTAAAACGTTTTGTGCATATATCGGAAATGTTGAACGTCACAAATTTTCTTTTTCATTTACAGCAGGTGTAATTTTAAAATAAAGCTTAAAAGTTTACAATTGTCCTCTCAGCTTCAAATCAGCTAAACTCTATGGTCAGTGTCGAGTGGTAAATAGAAGTTAAAAAGTCTGACAACTTTAAATCAAACCGAAATAAAAATTATGTAGAGAACTGCCAGTAAAAAGTTCTATAAACAAGGAAGGGTATTAAAAAAAACCTCGCTTATGGTTTTTTTTGTACGAAACTAAGAAGTATGCTATGCTTATCAATAGAATATCTAGAGCCAACTTTTTGACACAACAACCCCTCAGGGGTTATCTTAATTCAAATTTCTCTTCTATGCGAAAACACGACTGTGAAACATGAACCATTGTCTACTCCTTTAACAAATTCCATCGCTGAAAATTTTGAAAAACACTCTTTATGCCGGAGTTTCATGCGAAAACATTTAGTTATCGAAACCAAATCTATATATTACACTTAGTAATGAAACTTCCCAGCCAGTTGAAATTTTAGTATTCAGAGGACATAAGGTAATCAATCTTAAACGAGATAACAGGCAATAAAGCAAGGTATAAATGATTTTATCTGTCATTTTTCTCTTTGCCGGCCTGTATTGAAACAATTAGACTGCTCACTCTGCTCATGCGCAACTTTGTCGTTTGTTTGGTCATTGCAGCTGTATGATGACTCGGCAGAAGCATTTTGAAGGTTGCCATGGTGATATTCTAAACATTTTAATAACAAGTCGGATATATAATGAAAATGGTGGTTATAAATATCTCGGAAACAAGGAGTCATTCAAAAGTACAGTAAAATAACGAGTGTTGGTTTTTACGACAATCCAGAGTCTTTCAAGCGTGTGCAATAATGTGAAATGTGAATAGATATCACTCACGTCCCTGATATTCTACGCTTACTCGCCAAAAGTTGTTTTCCGAAACGTGACAATCTTGAATAGAACAAAAAAACAGGCTTTGAATGCCAAAAACGGTCCCCTCACGTTTCTGATCATGAACAAGACAGGTAATTCGATAATGTTCGAGCGATCAGCAAACATAAAATGCTTTCGTCTGGCCTCGTTATTCGGGTCTCTAACTATTTGTGCTGAAATGAATATTTAATGCCCGAGGTAATTTCACGGAATCATTGTAATTTGAATAACTTACGTCATGCGACACACGCAAAGTCAGAATTTTATATCAAATCTTTCTACCGACAAAAAAAGGTATGAAAAATTCAAATACCGTAAACATCTTTAATTTCTATCGAATCCAAACTTTGACTGTAACAACGCTCAAGCTAAGAAATCAATAGAGTGGAACACTGGTGACAATATTTGTCAAATAACAATATTTTAGTATACTACCACTCAAATGGTATGGTGAAACTGTTTTTTATAAACAATTACCATATCTTTACTAAATTTTGTAAATTACTTAAAGTTCCTCACTTTGATTCGAATATTTAATTTCGCGATCAGTAATTGGCTCGTCTTTTACTTCAAAGGAAAAATGAACGACATCAATCAAAATATTTGAAAAGAAATGTAAAAGCGAATCTCGCGTCCTGTTTTCCTTTTTTTTTTTTTTCATGGTTAAAATTTTATCATTCCAACCTACCCGCAGATAGCTTGTTCCGTTATCTGTTACCCCACCTATTGCCACATCGTAGTACTTCATCATATTTGGAGCCACTTCAGCAACACCGAAACCAACCCAACCTGTGGTTCTCACTTGTACCATAAACTGCAGTGTGTCTGCGGACTCGTTGTAGTTGTAGGAAACATTGTAATTTCCTTTCCCATCAAGCATGATCATGTTGGAATACATATTATACATGCTGGTGCTTTTTGTGGAAGCCACAAACAGCGCTAAAATACACAACTGAACGACAGCCATTTTCCTTGTCAAAGATCGGCCTTGCCTTCACTGAGGAACAGAAGCTGTGAATGACTTTGCATTTTCGTAAATTTCCGTTTTGTAGCCTTTTTCTAATCATTGACGTCGCCAATATCTCCCGGCGGTATGGTTTGTATTTTTATCTTTGTTTTGGTTTGGAAACAAGGTAAGTGTAATAACAAAGAACAGGAAGCAACCAAAAAAAGAAAAAAGGTATGCAATGAGATACTCAAGTAAAAACTTTTACAAGAGGATGGGAAATCAAGGAAACAAGTCGTTTTTTGACTGATATATTTCCTTTTACGGCGAGGCTGAAGAGATGAGAATTGAATCGTGCAAAACCTGTTAAAAATTTATAATTTATACATTGCAATTTGGTAACTTATAACTGATAAGATCTAAAACTACTGAGATCTAAACTACTGTTGTGAGACAGGAATAGTGATAAACGCACGAGGTGATTAACGGCAAGTTGATCAAGAAGGGTAGAAAAATCTATAAGGTAAAAAATGACATCTTAACCTGTTGAAAATTAGCCAGTGATATCGGAGAAACATGGAACAAAGAAACCTGTCTAAATTTTGATAACTGTTCGATTATTTCCGATTAAATTACAACTTTCAATTACCGCCAGTCTTTAAGAAGATAGGTCCTGCATTTTCACAGTATTGGTCGCGTAACGTGAAACAATCCACCATCTTCGTTTTCAATCAATATAAATACAAAGATTCCCGAATTTGACTACGCTTTTCCTTTTCCAAATATGTTGTTAATATAACGGTTGAACTTTAAGTTCAGGAAAATTGATCGTGCCTCGTCACTGTTTGTTTATCTTGTAAAAATGTAGCCTCCCCTTGTATAGTTTCTCTTAACAATCAATGTCACCGAATTCTTTCGGTGATAAGCCAACGGCGTTAGTTTCAAACTCGACCTGAACAACTGGGCGTTTTCTACGAGAGACCGGTTTTCACCCAGTGCCCAACAAAAATGCAATTTAATGTAATTTTTTCAGACAAAATTTTAATTGCCCAGTCTTTAAGACTCAGGCGTCATGATTTTTTCCTTCCTTCAGCCGAAACGAACTGTCCCTTGGTCTTTTTGCAACGACTATCACTGATTTGAAATATTACAGCTTCTTATTCCAATACCTAATAAGATCACGAGAACGTGCAAAATATGCCACAGTATTACAATGAAAAAGAAGGCAAAGATGGGAAGCAACAGAATGGAACAATTCGATTTTTTCGTCTTTTAGGCTTGACTTGAAAAGAAATGAAATTTTTAAGCGCAACAGATTTTTCTGTTGGTAACAAATAACACTTAAACGGTTTTTTCGTTTTGTTTTCGTCTTTGCATACTCCTTTTGGGTTCGATAGATGCACAAATAAGGCGGGAGGATGAAATTTGCATACTAAAATCAAGACACTCATGGGAAGTGAAATGATAGTGAAATGATAAATCCCTTCTTCGATGGTCTTAACTTATAATATGGGTGGACATTTTGCTCATTGCTCGAAATTTGACTCTTCGGGGCAACTCGCAAAATATCCACGCGTGTACGGTGTAAATATTGTATATGGTTTGCGTGTCGTCTGTTTACGATCCAGATCGACATAAGATGCGTGAAGTATGGTAACACGAATGTAGACATAGCTGTTTATTGTTATTATAACGACTAAAATTTGCATTTCTATTGTCAAGCAAATGTGATATAATTTTCTATTGCTTTTCTTTCTATTGTTCTACCGTGATTGAAAGGTTCTGTTTCTCTTTAATTTAGTTTGCGTTTTTGGGTGAAGTTGTGTAAGAATTGCTTAACGCCTGTAGCTATTTATTTCGCCAGTATGCGCGATAATTTTCATTGCTAATTGGCTTCAACTAAGTCAGTCGTTTCGTTAATTTTGGCTAGCGCCGTGTTGCTTTTATCGAAGAGTTTTACTGCCGGACCTGGTTTCGCCATAAATCTCGAATCACCCCCTTTCTTATGTACAGATCTTTACATCTAAATAAATGTCCATCTGGCAAAAAAATAAAGAGTACATTCGCTTTGTGGCGTTAAACGTGTAGTTATTTGTCGACAGTTTTGCTTTGCAGTGTTAATCTCAGTTTTATTACACCGGTACTTTTCCTTTTAGAATTCTCATATATTTTCATATTTTCAAGCAGCAGTATATCATGACAGCGTTATCCAATAAAATTCCTTTTTTGCTCGACAGCAAATAAACGCAGGTCCATGCACTTCATGGCTGTGTTGTGATTTTCTTCAAGCCACTGTGTGACGATTCTCATTTCTTCTCGATCTGTCCCCGTTCACTGGTTGATATTGAGTCTACGGCTCGATGCATCAACGAAATAGTTTCTTCCCCCGGCAAAAGAACCGATTCTGTTGGCCCCTCTGCTTCCATTTCCAATCTACTTCCGATTGTCACTTCTTCTGTGTGGTTCCTTAGAAAGTTTGGTCTCGCAAAATTACTTCAACCCTCACACTCACACGCAATAAGTCCCCTCGATAATGTGATCATCTGTGTGAGGATAGTGCTGGAATTGCTTGTCTAAATGGATATCGTTATCAGAGATGAGTCACAATTGTTGTTGTTCAAAACTAGCTCCATATTTATTTGGACCATTCTAATACATTTAGCAGCCTTGGGGGAATCAAGTCATCAATTTCAAGTAATCCAAGAGTCCACTCCATTTTTAAACTGACGAGAAGCGCAGATACATTGCATATTTCAACAAATCAACCCTTAGAGACTGCTCTTATTCATTGTGGTTACTGCTTGCTTCGGAGCAAGTTGTATTCCACATTTATACCAATAACCTCTTCCCTACAAATAACTAGATTCCCGTCGATCCCGGAATTTTCCTGTCACTTCGCCCACGACAACTTTTAGAAAACACCACACAGGAGATAAGTGCTTTTGAGGCTCGCTGATTGGCTAATCCGGAAGTGCTCTGGGCAGACAAACAGACAAAATCGCGCTTCAAGAGTTTTTTTTTTTTGAACTCACGTCTTCTGAATGGGAAAATTTTCAAAACAAATATTTTCTAGAAACTTTGTTATGGGGACTGATCTAGTTCTGGTAACCTCACAAGTATCCGCCAAAAAGGCATATCTTTATGATTGTCACAATGAAGAGAGACTGGATTGTAAAACGCAACTTGCAATGGTTTAAGTAAAGTTTTGTGACACGCCGTAGTCGGAAGTACCACTTAGGGAACCTAGTTGACTTTCATCCAAGACAAATGATTCGATTTTGTAACAGATGCAGTTGCCTTGCTTCCGAATCCTCAAAGTGATTGTGCTTTTGGGCATAGATGCAAAGTGTACCAGGTCGCTCAAGGTGCATGTTGTTTAGCGCGGCCCCGATCTTTGTTGTTGTTGTTTGAAATGCAGAGCCAAAATGGCTTGGCAAATTCTCTTAAAGCTGTGTGTTTATAATCCTTTTTCTTCCCATGATGGGCCGAGATCTTTGATCTGTGTGGGAATGTAATGATGACCGTAGAAATCCCGACAGGTACAAGATCTTAACGAAAACTTTTCATTTCCAGTTTGTGGGTTCTTGCAAAAGTCCTAGGCTCGATTGCCTCGTTGTTCGGGAACCGGAGCCCGCGCTCCATCCCGAAGAGACGGCTGGACGTGTGAGGTTTCTTTTGTTGTCTATAGCCAATCAGAAGTTCGCCTGCAGATTTTGTTAAGGCTGCATAAATGATCTTGTCAGACAAAGTTTTCAAAATGGTGGGTTCGATTACCAGCCGCAATTCGGGAACCGGAGCCCTCGCTCCTCCCCAAAGAGACTTCTTCTCGAGGAGGGACGAAAAAGACCGGACTCGAGAGAGCAGCGGAAATCGAGCCTACAAAAGTCCTTGATAAGTTGTTACACCTTCCGTTCCATCTCGATCAAGGTATACCTTTTGAAGCTCAAATGAAAATTACATATTCCGAGACTAATAAAAATTTGAGCCTTTAAAGAAACGGAATTAGCTCTAGAGTAACAAAAAATGCAATTCCCAAAAGCGACAAGGACTACGGCTGGAAAATGAAAACGTAACTTGCTGACTTCATGAGGCTTTGGGACATTTGAGCCAAAGTTATTACCGGCAAGTTTTATCTCAAGTGTTGATATGTTCATAAGGTATTGTTCAATTGAAGATTTTGTCGTTAAATCATTCAACTTTAAGAACTTCCAATACAACGCTACGCAAATATATGGCCGTGAAGTCATGTAAATACACTGAAGTCCTGGCATTCAGTGTAATGCCTGAGTACTTCTGGGATTTATAACATACATAGCTTTTTATTCATGGTCAATATAGGAAAGAGTTGTCTATTCTTTCTGGTTCACCCAGGCTGAAGTCCTGGCATTCAGTGTAATACCTGAGCGCTTCTGGGATATACAACATACTTAGCTTTTCATTCATCGTCAATATAGGAAAGTGTTGTCTATCCTTTCTGGTTCACCCAGGCTGAAGTCCTGGCTTTCAGTGCAATGCTTGAGTGCTTCTGGGATATATAACATACTTAGTTTTTTCATTCGTGGTCAATATAGGGAAGTGTTGTGTATCCTTTCTGGTTCACCCAGGCTGAAGTCCTGGCATTCAGTGTAATGCCTGAGCGCTTCTGGGATATACAACATACATAGCTTTTCATTCATGGTCAATATAGGGAAGTGTTGTCTATCCTTTCTGGTTCACCCAGGCTGAAGTCCTGGCATTCAGAGTAATGCCTGAACACTTCTGGGATATACAACATACTTAGCTTTCATCCAAGGTCAATATGGGGAAGTGTTGTCTATCCTTTCTGGTTCACCCATGCTGAACGGCAGTTCTGCTATTCACAGTAATGCTTTAGTGCTTCTGGGATACCTAACATTCTAATTTTCTTTGACATTCACAGGTTAATCTAGGGAAGTGTTGTCTATCGGCCTTACTGGTTCAAAAATTACAGCACCGAGCGTCAGCTGTCAAAGATTCTAAACACAGCGGAAAAAAAGTCGTCGGTTCAGGAATTTACTTTGTCTCCGATCCGAAAACAAAAATCGGGTAAAATTGATTAGAAAACAAAACACTCAGGCCGCCAGTTAAATGTCGTAGTAAATAAGCGTCGCCATAACGATATACATACGCATGTAGATCATCAGGTGGTGGGTCATGAAGGGGCTAAGCCTGGAACCTCTTGCAGCCAAAGCAGTGCTTTACTGCTCTCTTAGCAAGCCGTCGAAGACTTGGCAGCCAGAATCTTTCTCGTACTTTAGCCATAGTCATGCTGACTCCCCCATGGAGAGTTATCTCGTGCGCTTGCTGCACGATTTCCACTGTGAAAGAATTATAATCTGGTAAGTAAATCGGATACTCACCGTGAATGTGTCGTCGGCATTCCAATACACCATCTGTGTTTAGTTGCAGACTCAGTTGTTCCTGGTCACGGAAAAACTTGACCGTCTTTGCCCCTTGGCTCTGCGCATGTTTGATCCAGGACATTTCTTGTTGCTGAATTTCTTCGGTCGCAAGAGGTCCCATGATCCTCTTGGAAGGGTGACGAGAATAGTGATTGACCTGCAAGATCAATGCACAAATTCTCATGGCTTTACGCAAGCCGAAATTCTCCAGAACAGTGTCAAAGTCATCGTCTGCTTCGACACCGAGCGCGAAAAGTTCTCGTGGAACGTTCTTTTCTGCATTGCTGTCATCCGTTGTCACAATATTAGCAGGCCACTGAGATCGGTCGGATAGACGGTCGATGGACCGTTCCACTATAGCTCCACTTCATTCACACTGCCACCTCTACTCCCCAGGTCAGCAGGGTTTTCGGTAGTCTTCCTCGCAGCCGTTTTGTTTGGATGTCACGCAACGCTCCCCCAAAAGAACGGCTGCTGACGACCGAACTACATTCCTTTCTCCGAATTGGCCAATTACAGCTCGGGTTCTATTTTTAATATTTCGCGCCAGACTCACCTTTTGAGACTCGTCCAATCAGATATCGTTTTTCATCGCGATCCTCGTGTGGAAAACACAAGACAAATGGCAGTGCTTGAAGGAGCTTTTCGCAAAGCGTCGTCAAAGTTCAAAATTTTCGAGCTTAAAGTTTGAGTCGAGAAAGAAGATGTTTTTGTTAAGTTGCCTACAGGATCCGGGAAATCGTTAATATATCAAGCACTCCCGCTCGTGTTTGACCATGTTACCGATGAAAGTGGTCATATTATTGTTATTGTTGTTGCGTTGTACCAACGTGCGGAAACACTCGATAATTCGGGCCGATTTCCTGTACCGGTGATAAGAAGCCACGAACATAACTAATCGGGTTCGCTCCAGCTAGCAGCGGACTGGCAAATGAAGAAGTACAAGTAGTGTAGGAGACGTTGGCCGACCTAAATTGCAGTGTTCTCGAAGCTTCGCCCGGTTTGTTGACGGCAAGCACGCGCTTTTTTCCTCCTGATCTCCATCTGTAGGTCGAAGCAAGCGTTTAGCCCTTGGCCTAGATTGAAAGGCGTCTTGTATTTCCTTTTGATTATTGATGTAATTTACTGTTTCTTATATATTCTGACTTTTATAATCTGTAGTAACCTCTTGAAATAGTGCGAATAAAGAGTTTCAGTTCAGTTTTTAGCTTCTTCTACTTTCTCAGTTGCTCGCTGAAACTTTAACAACCGCTCAAACAATCTAGCGTTCGTGTCGTTGGCGTAGCAGTTGACGTCTATGTTAAGCGTAGATTCTATAATTTCAACGAAATTGTGAGAAGTTTTCCCAAAAATATATACTCTATCTTTACCAGGGCACAACGATGAACATGTGAAACATTTCGAGCTCTCATCGACAAATTTCT